CCTTAGGGCTGCTGCACCCACAAGGGAGGCAGGCTGCTTGTTCAGTGTGGCTGAGTTCCCTCAAGGGTCTGACCCAACAGGTCTTATTTTCTCTCACGTGCTGTCAAACCAGATCTGAGCACTTAAATATTCAAGAGAACCCCTGATCTGCAAACATTTGCCTACCTTCGGCAGCTCCCACCCACTCCCCAGGAGGCCAATTAAGACACCCTCCTTGGGGACAGCTGGCAGCAAGACAGTGGGACTCTTGAATTCTAGAGGCTTCACAGACTTGAGACATACCACTCTCAGTTGCCAGTCTTCAGGGGCTAGGTCAGTCAGCCTGGTGGTATGACTTGCCCTTTCCTGTGAGAATGCTATGTGTTAATACATGTGCACATACGTGTGTGTACATGCACACACACACACACACACACACACACACACACACACACACATCATAATGTTTCAAAGCCATTCAGAACCTGCCTAACAGCCCCTTACACCTTTGAAGGACTTTTGTTGAGAAAGTTCCAAAGGGACCTGGGTGAGAATGGAACGAGGTAGGAGACAGCCCAGGCCTTTCTGTCCAGCTGCTTCCCAGAGCAGCAGCGTGTTCCCAGACCTCAGGAGGATAGATAGGGTGGGATGCAGACTCCTCTCCTGATGGTGGCAATGCGGGTAGTGGGAGCCAACAGTCTGCTGTGATGAGCCAGATACTCACACTTCCCAACCTGCCTCTCACACTGAGGCTCCCCCACCTGGAGACTCCTCAGCACCCTCCTCTGCCAAGGCTACTCTGTCCCCACCACATGATAGTCATCAGGACCAAGATTAAATGTCATGGTAACTATGTGGCCTGGGATGGCACTAGCCAGCTGTGTGGCCTTGGACAAATCACAGCACCTCTCTGAGCCTCAATTTGGCATATGTAGAGTACGGACAACACTTTTACCCACGCCTCCTAGAGATTCTGTGGGAATCAATGAGTCAGTCACACTTGGGGTGTTTAGGGGATGTGGGTCAGGCCAAGCTGTTACAAGATTAACAACCCATCTGAAGCACTCTCCTGCCTCTGTCCTAAGCAGGTGGTTTTCAAGTTTATGCTACTCTCAGAGGCCAAACATGGCCATTAGGAGAAGGGACCAAAACTAACAACTATCTCTCTCTCTCTCTCTCTCTCTCTCTCTCTCTCTCTCTCTCTCTCT